AATTGCTTCCTTGTGAGGATGGGAGAGGTTGTCGTGGGATTGAAGAGTGCTGAACTCCATGTAAAAATCACGGTAATCATGAAGAGGACGTACTAACGACCCATAGAAAATTTACGTGCATTGTTACTGGCATTTTCCCCATTCGCCGATTATGAATGTCGACGAACACGAAATGGTTGCGGGTGGCAAACACATACAACCCTGTTGCATGACACGCAATATGAAAGCAACAGCTTTGTTGAAAGGATATTTAAGGAGCAGGAAGGAGTTTTGTGTTTTAGCTTTGAATTGAAGAGCATTTTTTGTGTTAAATGCTCTTTTTTTTTGTTGGCTTGAAATTCAGGTGTTTTGTTTTTCTTGTTTCCTTAGGATTTCTTGTTGTTATCGAAAAGTGCTGTACAACTTTCATTCTTAAAAGTCAGTGAGTTTTTTTTTCATGTTGTCAATAAGCGCTTGATATTGTAACAACAAAATAAGAATAAAAACGCCAACATAATCCTTACAACAACATAGCCAAACAACAGAGTGACTAAGAGACTCATTAACACAGTCATCGTCATCATCAACATCATTAGAAAGCTATTTAAAAAACCTCTTTTTTCGAGAAGCCCAGCATAGGACACGGAATGGAGACAGCAAGTTGTACAAAAAAGTGTTTCTGCTGGTAAGTGTTGGTGTTTTTTCTTGCACTTATCTTTGCCCCTTTTCGCCTCATTTTCGAACATACAAAAAATGTTGCATAAAAGACAGCAGGGTACGTGCCCATAGACAGTAGCCAGAGTGGTTGAGATGCGCCACTGAGGAAAGGAATAGACTAAAAAACCAGAGTCTGGATTGGAATTCAAGCATGAATGGACTGAATGCAACACCTTTATTTTAAATATTAAGCAATTTTGGTCAAAAAACATACCAAGAGAAAAGTTATTTCCTTTTTTGGCAGAATTACAGAGGATAGATACATAAGTAGTTTATTTCATAAAACGTACATATTATTGATTTTTGGATGATTATGGAGATAATTGACTTATCCTTTTTCTTTGTTTCATTGAAGCTAAACTATTATCATTCAGATCTTTTAATAATCCTGATTTATTACTCGTATTGGCAAAAATGATCAACAAGTCTATTAAAATATAAAACCAATGTATTGGCAATTGTTTTTTTTTACACCATTGTTTTCCTTGCTGTTTGGCTGTAAATCGATCGATCTCAGCTTATTGTCTCTGTGAAACGAAAGTGAAGTAGAAAAGAGAATTCACAAAATCCATAACACAAATTTTTACAATAAAATTAACAATTCTACATTAAAGAAGAAAAAGGAAAAGGCTCTCAAAAATATACATATTTGAAAGCACTGACTTTGTATATAGGAATGGAAGACCTCAAAGCTCAGTTCCAGGCATTTGAATAATGTCAGGTTTTGTTTGTTATTTGCCAAATATGCCTCAATTTACATTCTTCATTCTGTGGCATATTCAGCCCAGCCCTATCAAATGTTGTACAGAACATCCACAAAAGATAAAGAGCGGCCATACAATAGATGAGAAGTAGAAAGTGGCAAGTATGGGCTTAAAAGATGCAATGAAAACTGTTTTAAAAGATCTTCTTCGAGTTTCCTGCTCTGCTTCTTGATAGTATTTCGTGATATAAAAAGTAATATACGTGAGCTACTATAAGTTGACGTTATGCAGCTTATCCTTCTTATGAATGAGTCGTCGACATGAGCAAAGACATCCTTACTGTTCAAATTCAATATAGTTCAGGGCAAACCAGCACACACAAAGCCTCGCAAATACGTAACGAATAAAACAGGGATTTTTTCGCACCACCATCTTCCTACAGGTGTGAGTGCATTGGCTTTATGTTCATATTTTATTAAAGCTTTTTGACAAAGGAGAAATACACAAAGCGAAAAAGGCAATATAGGCAGGCAGCAGCATCACACAACGTAACGATTCTCGCCGTACGTAATACGTTAAGCCGAGAATGATAATTTACATTCACAGAAGAAGAGGAGGACTTATGGTTCAACGTTTTCTTTCGGAACGTCAGCGAGGCAGCGAAAAATAAAAGCCACACAACACTTCTTCAGTTATTCGACGTAAATCTTGGCCCCGGCCGCATTTTACAAATTGACAAAGTATGGACGTCCCGTCCGCATCATGTAACCAATGTAACCAACAAAAAGTGTTGAAAATTTAATATCTTTTCACCTTTGCTATTCAAATGGTGTTGGACTTTATATTCTGGTCTGTATTTCATTTGGCCAATATTATGACAGTTTGAATGGAAAATAAATGTGAAAAAAGGTCTAACAAAAAAACACTACTTTTTTTGCTCATTTGAATATTTTATTGCATTTTTGTGAAATTTTATTTTGAGATGGGAGAGAAAAAAATTTGATATATATATATCAAATGGTTGAAGTAAAAAAATGTTTCAATATAGTTAGGACTGCTGCATTGTAAACATGTTCACAATTCGGTGAAAATCATTGACATTGAGATAGTCAATATATTTTATATTTTAATATGAAGTTTTTTACATTGACAATCTTTTGTGAGTGATATTGGCGCTTTAACTTTATTTGTATTTGGCTATTTGTTAAAGATTCAGTTCAAAAAAAAAATTGTAAATGTGGAATACCCTAAGACAAAAAAAAAATTAAAAATTTAATCATTTATCCAAATTCTGTCAACCAACGCAGTTATATTGCAAAGCCAGGTAGACGTTAAGTCATTTTTTTTTTTTTTTTTGTATCAGTCCAATGGTTAAAGGCTTAAATTCTGGTCCAATGGCAATGATCGTCTGCCTAAGCTAGAATAGCCAAGAATTGTAATCATCACCTAATATGACGAAAATATGTGCATATAGTTATGTACATATAAATCTCATGTGGTGGCTTCGTCCGACGAGTGGTATTACGAACTGAAATATTACATTTTGAATTGTAATGAAATGGACACATCTCTTATTAAAATTGTGTTCCCTTAAGAAAATATTTCCTTTGGTATAATGTCCATCACCATTACCACCACATACGAAACTAGCTGGTCACAATCACGTGTATCTTTTTACAGGGCCTGCCAGCTAGCCGAGGACACTGATAAAGAGTGTTGACAAATGCCACCACTATAAAGGATTATGAAGCGACCCAATAAAGTCAAAAAGAATTTATGAACAGATAATGGAATCATTTCCATGATAGTCTTTCTATTATATGCCTTGCCTTATAGTTACATCCGTGAAACATGCTCCCATCCAGCTTATGATCTGTATGTCTTGTTCAGAAAATGCATTCTATTCTAAAAGGATTTCTTTTCAAATGTTTTAAAAAGTCAAGATTTTATTCTGCTATACTGAACGCTGTTTCCAACTCCTTTCTGTTAAGCTTATTACAGGATATTGACCTGATGAAGATTTTCTCTGATTGTCACTGAGTGAATAGTGTCCGGAAAACAACAAAAATCCTTGCTGTCATTTGTTGCCGTTCTAAATGGCAAATGGCCATTTAGATAACAATAAGCGTATTATCCTAAGATGAAAGTGGCCACTTTAGTAACATGTCCATCACTTTGTTTCTTATAAGTAGAAAAAATACGTCGACAGAACAATTTATATATAAAAGGATAAAGGGAGAAAAATATTATACTTAGGTACAATTTTGAAGAAATCGAGTTCATAATTATGTGAAATTTGAAAACATTATTTCTATACTAAGTTAATTTACTATTCTATAATTGTTTTTTTTATTTATTTGCATTTTGCCTGTAAGGGCGATAATCATTTGAATTAGTTTAAAGTCAGTTTTTTCTCTTTCAAAGTCGAGTTTAATCATCGAAATTTAGCAATGAAAAGGAAATCCAGGAGAAGAACATACGTTGTTTTCTTTTTTAATTCATTAAGGATTCCATTTCCATATTTTTCAAAGACAAATAACTTCAACTCGAATTAATACTCCCAAAGCAATTAGAGACGCATGTGTAATGCATCAGCTTTTGATTAAAACTTTTATCTAACAACAGCAAACCAACTTCTTTCTGTCATCGCACACCAAATCGAACAAAAGGAAAATGTTCCAATTCATGGGTGATATACGTGACCATGCAATGGGTTTCTCTTAGTATATCCAGCGACTACTAGAAACAAAACTCACATTTGTGGCTGTGGACGTTGACTTCCACAAAAAATACCATAAATTCCTTAATGCCAATCCATCCCATGAACGGACTAGCTGTGAACGCTACAATTACGAGTTTTTTTAATGAAATTAAAATAAATACCGTACCAGCACCATTGTTATCCTCTTTCCACAAGCAAAAATTGCAATGCAAAAATAAACTCCAAATATATTGGTAAACAAACGGCAAAACCAAAAAAAAAGAAAAAACAACAGAACTTTAAAACATATTATGTGTCAGTTTGAAAGCTGCAAGCCTTAATCCTTCCATGTTTTGATACTCGGTTTATTTAATGGATTTGTAGAGTGCCAAAATAACTCACAAAATAATAATAGCAACAAATAAGGAACCGAATGAAATTGGTAATGGAGGGAGTGCATCGTTTGCACGATACCCTACACTATTCAGAAATATTTAACAGGGACATATAGACCTATGAGAGATTATTATGAGATCTTAGATGTCATCTGTCTCACATTATAGACTCCCTAAAAAAATTATTTTTATTTTAGAAAACCCGTCGAATTTGTATGAATGCCCGTCCCAGCTGAGAATAAGTCATTATTATTGATTGCTAATTTAGGTTATGTGTAAAATTTGTCATTAGTTGACCTCTGAATCGAAGTGTGTATCTGGAATACTTTAAAATTCATATTGACTGGATATAATGTCAATCAGTACTGTTTGTTGTCTGTTGCAAACTCTTCATATTATGAGTATATCACTGTCATAGCAATGTAGTGTATAAAGACAATAGAAACGTTGTTTTATTTTTTAATTTGTTAAAATATTTTAAAATAAAAAAAAAAAAATACTCACCACTGCTCGACATGCTGGACTGCGATAGATATCACTGGCGCCCGATAAACTTTGGAAATATTTTTTCGTGCCATAAACCGTATCCATTTTGATTTACTCGGAAAAGTTCTTGCTGGGGTTGTTTTGCACGTTGTTGCTGTTATGTGTACGACACTTCAAACGCTTTGAGCGAAGGCCAAAAAACAGTATTGTTTATTTTTTAAAGTACTCTGTGAAATTTTAATATTTTACACTCACTCACATCTACTTGAACGCAGAATGGTTGTAGCCTCAGCGGTTGGGCTGCATTCAAGCAAATGAGCGCGGCGGATACACTATCTGATGAAATTTATTTGAAGCACTTGCAGCAATTACACACATACATACACATATGTATATGGAACACCATTCGACAGAACATGTACACTGAAAAGTTTGTGTATCCTCCTCCACTTCTGATGAATTTTTATATTTCCAAAATTTTGTTTTTGTTGTTCTCTTCGTGTGTGTGTGTCGGCAAAACGATCAATTTCCCTGTGATATTCCCATATTTAAAATATCTATGTATGTTTGTATGTATGAGTTCTATTCTATGTCCTGTTCAATTTTAGAGCGTGTTTTTTGTAGTTTTGAGTTTTTTGTGTTTGTTTGAAATATAACGTTGACAATGCCTGTGTGTTGCTGGTCAAACTTTAGTTTTCACTCTGAATTTGCAACTTTGTCCTTGTGCTGTGTTGTCAATGTGGCCACCAGCAAAATTGCGCGTCCTTTTTCTATGTTTCACACAACAACTATACACAAAAACAAAAAAAAAACACTGTCCAATTAACTAATGAAGCAGCCACGATGAGAGGTGAGAAGTTGTTTTTTGTTTTGTTTTGTTTTGCTTTTATTTTGTTTTGTTTTTGCCACATAAATGTGATGAAATTGATGAAGAACGATGAGTTGTCAGAAGTTGGGTGTTAGAACTCGTCTCTGTTTTAGTTTTTTGTCCTCGGTGTTAGTTGTTCAAAATAGTGTTGCTGCTGCAGTGGTTGTTCAGTTTTTTCCTGTTACCCACATTGATCACCAGTTAATAGATTGGTTTACAACACCATCACACCATCTGAAATACACAAAAAATGGCAAATTTAATACAAGTCTAGTGAAAACAATTTTGTTTTAGAGATTTTGATTTGACGATATGCTAAGTGAAAATTTACGAGAGGGAAATTTACTTTTTTTAAAAGAATATTTTATAATCACATATAAAAATTACACAATAAAGCTAATTGAAATCAATAATTTTTATTTGAGGTTATGGCGAAATTTCAAAATCTAAAAAAGGACATCTGAGAAATATATTTGTTAATTTCTTTAATCACTACATAAACAACATTGACATTGACTGTTAAGGCAAAGCTTTGTTACACTAATATGCGTAGTTAATGGAATTATTTAGGCTCCGAACTGGACTTTCGATTTTTTTTAGCAAAAATGTCATTATCAATTTCGATTTCTTAAATAATTGGCCTGATCATTTAGGCTGCATAAAATTCAAATTTCTGTACAAAGTCCAACAACCGTTAAACGAGCCTAATTTCCTATTGACATTTCGTTTCGATTTGTTTTGATTTCGATTTTAATCTTGTGACATCACACAGCCTACGATGACAGATTAAGTGAAAATCTGTAACATTCCGTTTACCCTCATCTCTTCAACAATAACGGGTCTTCTATTCTGTTTCAAACAGTCATTTTCTGGTACAGCTACTTTTTGATGGAAAATGAAAACTCTTCTCAAAGCCAAAATCCAAAATCAAAAGCTTGAATGAGAAGGAAAAAAACTACTTTATTAGCTACAAACACCACACTGGCACTCCTATTTAACCCAAGACTCGAACTGGATGTTAATGCGGTTTATGTTGCATCTTTGAGATGCAGTCAGTCAACAGTGGCCAAACAAGTTTTTTTCTTTATTTTTCATTTCGTATTCCATTCAATGTTGAGTCACTGGAATCTACTGCATTGCTATTTGTCTGAGTAACTGTCTGTGTTGTTCGGCTGGTGCTGGGGAAGACGAAGATGGCTTTGGTGTTTTTATTATCTATGGACTTTATTACACTAGTACAGCAGCCAGGCCAAGCATCAACAGCGAATGAGAAATTTTTGAAGAAATGGAAATTAAAATGAAAGAAACTGGTATTTTCAGTGGTAAGTTCTTCGTCTCGTTAGTGGTGAGAGGAACGGTGGGTAGGGGTATTTTAGTTTTAATTTTCCTTGAGGTGACAAATCTTATAAAACTGAATGAAGAAAATCCAAAAGCCATAGCAAAGAAAGTGTTTCACTTTTTTTGCGAAATTCATTTTAATTCTTTGTAAATATCTGTGTATATACAACACGAAGGGTGTCTGCTAAAATGCAATTATGAAAGACCTTTAGCAAAGAGGATTGAGAGTAATAAAAATGCTAATTTCATAAAATAAATATGAATCTAGTTTTTGCTTAAAGAACGGAACGAAATACAATTGTCAATTCATTGGAAATTGACAGTAATGGATTTCTGTGAGGTGACACATTTAAAAATAAAAAAATATATATTATGGATAATCACAATATTTATTAAAAATAATCACAATATTACAATTAAAAAAATAAATTCACATTTTTTTATATTTTTCTTAAATTTTCATGCCATAAAAATAACATATATTTTTTAAACAAATATAAAAGTTAAAAATTATGTACACAATATTTTCTGAGCTTTTGCGAAATGTGGTAAACATAAAATTAATTTTCTTGGAAACAATTTGAATTCCCCTACACAATTTGAATCTCTAGCGCCATTTTCTCAAATTCGTATATATACCTACTACCATTTTTATTTCATATACCAAAACAATATTATTTAATTGCCATTGTTAAAGAAAATCCATTCATAAATTATAAATTTCACTTACTACTGACCTCCAGTGGTTCAATTATAATTTTCTGAAAACCCCTCACCTCTCTTTAGAATCGTTTTGAAGTTTCACTTTCATTTATGGCCATTAACAATAACTTGGCTATAATAAATGATCTTAGCCAGCTTAATTAACGCACATAAACTGACAGAACATAAAGTGTTCCACTTTCGCTCTTATTTGCATTCCTCAGATGTTATAATTAGGCACAGAAATTCAATTTCAATTTCATATCTACAGCAAAGAGAAGATCATAATTTAAAAATCGCTGCTTCAGTTTTTTCTTTCCTCCTTTAGTTAACACTTTCGGTTAAAGAATGCATTTTGGCTTTTGTTATTTTTGGATTGGTTGTCGGTTGGTCGGGCATTCGTTCATACATTTATGGTAATCGTTAACAGAAAAAGTAAAAGTTTTGGTTATAATCTAAAGAAGCAACAAAAACACAAACCAGTGACAACAACAAAAGTTTCATTATTTAAATAATTCAAAAAGAAATGAAAAACACGAAATCCGCACTCATTCATTCACTCACACACAAACACTCTCTCAAAAATGGTCATAAAGAATTTAAGATGTTGAGACTATGACTAAAAACAACGGCAGCAACAATAACAACAACATCTGGAAACACATAAAATTTCACTGTCATTATATTCCGGTCAGTAAGCCTGGCTCAAACGTAGATGGCGGAGGCGGTGGCAACGGCACTGTTCTGAGATAATCATTATTTACAGTTCGAATGCTATGGTCGCTCAGCGCTGACCATAATCTACAACCATTGTTGACTCTCAAATAAACATGTTGAACATTTCGAGTTAACAATATTGTAGTTGACCAAGAGTAACGAAGAAGTGAGTGCGAGTTTTGACTTGAACACGAACGACGTGATAAACATGACGGCGCTGACCTGATTTGCATGCTTCAGACACACACACACACACAAACAAATAACCATTGATGTGGATGGCCGGTATTCCATCTAGAAACGATTGTTGGAGTGAATGAATGACCAGCAATGGGAGAATAATGATTAGAAGACTCAGACAATGTCTCTGATAATGTCTAACGCCACACTATTTGGGGTTGTTGTAGATGAAATCATAACATTATTATATTTTCGGCAAAAATTGATAACTGCGTAAAATGAACGCATTTGTAGAAAAGTTAGAGACACACTTTAAATTTTGATTTTGACAACAAACAATACAAATAACAAAATCATGTTTGTTTTTATCTATATTACATAAAAAATTACATAGAAAAAATAAAAAAAAAAAACTCCTTCAAATGAATGCGGAAGAAATTCATTCTGAATTTTCGTAATCCCAATTTATTTTCCTATCAACCTCAAACTCTTGGAACTTGAATCTAGTTTTGTACCACAGCTTAATCATCCCCAAAGTAGATTTTAACTCATTCTTGTCTTTGTACTCAATATTCTAGCATTGACCTTTGGCTATCATTCCGATTTCCTTGAAATTTCAAACCTTAACATCCTTGGCATATTTATTACCTTAAGAACACTTAATAGTCATAATGCATTTACTATGTATCCGTTTACAATTTGCTTACAAGTTTATTCACAACACCAATGAATGAAATAAGAACAGCAAAGTGGCAACAACGTTAATTTCACTTTAACCAGTTTTTGCTCTTTTCTTTAGCTGTTTTTCGTTTTCTTTTTTGCATCTCTCCCGTATTAAATTCGCATACAAACACTCACACACACACACTGTTAAACGGTTTTGCTTCAGATTCTATGTTTTTAATTGCAATTCTTTGCTACAGGAAGAGAGTGTAGAGCAAATGAAAAACTAAAAAAAACAACACAAACGTTTTGAAGTGAACGAAAAGTATTTAAATCATTATCATATTTACCCGACAAAAACTGAATCAGAACAGCAACATATATATACATACATAAGTGTACATGTGATGCTAACACAAATATATACTAACATACACTCATACACTCAAACAGACATGCTTTTCTTTGTCCATGGAATTGAGTCCGTGCCAGAATTAGTACCACTTTTGGTACTTACAATTTAAATGCCGTTTCTCGACGTTGGAGGTGGATGGTGTCTAGCACACATTTGGACGCCGGTGTCGCCGCCTTGCTATTTGCCCAGACCACTTGAGGGCGGAAGTGCAATTGAATCGAAAGTGTGAAATGAAGTGTTTCACTTACTTAGCA